ATGTTAGTACTTCGTGTGTCCATTCCAGGAAGTCGTTCCTTGCAGATTGACCACAGAGTCTCGATTAGATTCAAATCAGGAGAGTTTCTTAGCCAGTGAATACTACATTGATTTGCTCACTGGTAAAGCTTGGCAGTATGTTAGTGCAGCGTTATAATTTCCGTACGCCTCCTTGGAGTAATGTCCATCGCAGACAATGGCCATAAACAACTAATCGACAGTCGAGACAATAGTGTCTGGGTGTGATAAGAATCTAATGCAATCACGGATGACGCAATATGTTACAAGGCCAAACAAATTTCATCATACACCCCGAAAATAGATTCATATCTCTGCACACCTCTGCAAGTAACCTAATCCGTGGAAAAATAAAATTCGATTACACACTGTCAATCCAGTGGCTCTAAAGCTGACCGTCTAAACTATTGTGCGGGAGCGAGCAATAATTATGAGCCTCGATTCCACAGTTCTAAAGGGGAGAATGATCACTTAGTGCCCATAGAGATCAGCCACCTTGCAAAACGGACACTGTACGGTGAATTGGTGAAAGGTAAACACCTGCAGTGCAAATCACACAAAAGATACAAAAACTGCCTCAAAGATGCACTTAAGAAGGTCCACTCAAACACCAGAGTTTGGGAAGATCTTGCGTCTGAAAGGTCTAGCTGGAAGACACCTGCTGACGACTGGTATTGACGACTTTAAGTAAGTTAGGATTGAACAGGCAGAGCTAAAACGGGATACGCGTTATAGGGAAAAACGTAAACCTCCAGGAAAAGATGTTAAAACCTCTCTCACCTATGCAGAATTTTGGTGCCATACGCCCTTCAAAGACGAGCTTGACTAGTCACACAAGTCAACATATTTTATCTTGATGATAATCAGCTTGATTTCACTTGCAATCTATGCAACTATGTGTGCAGGTCAGCGAGTAGATTTACACGGCATTACAAGTCTTCGCATCATGATACTAGTACAAAGGGTAAACTTATTTGCACGGTAGTTTAAAATGCGAGTCACTTGCTGAATGAAGGAGTCAATATGGATGTCATCAGTGGCATGGAAATTAACAGTTAAATCATGGTCGTACTCGGACACGAGTTGATTTTCCGCCATATAGAGTGGTGAAAATTACGCTAGATCCACGCCGGACTGTATAAAATGTCTGGTTATTTGGCGGGATTTGGGGAAGTGCGACGGTTTGAGCATTTTGCAGAACTGCCACTGATGGACTTTGAAAAACAACAAATATATTTGATAGACCCTAACAGATAGATATAAAATAAATGAGAAACAGACATTATCGGAATAAACGCCCCTACGCGTCTTCAAAACGACATACAAAATACATCTTAAAAATTAAAAACATAAAGAGTAATTAACAACATCTAAAAACTAACCACCTTGAAAATGGCTAAAGATGTCCCCGAAAATGTTTTGGACAATGAACAATATAGACAATTTTTGCGTTCCTTTACTGTCCCAAACGGAAAAATGTAAGAACGCTGGAAAAAATAAATAAAATATATATATATATATATATATATATATATATATATATATATATATATATAAACACTGTGTTGACAACATTTGTGAACATTTTTGTGAATTGATTGGACGGTTTTTGAAATATGATAAAAAAGTTATCTCGATAATAATTTGGCACACAGTGTATATATATTGTGTTCGTGCATAATTATCCAGTTTTTGGAGGCGAGTTATTTGTTAACAATTTTTTTTTGGTTTACAATGTTTAATAAAAATATGTTATTTTCAGGTTATGAAAATGCGTGTCGATAATCATACGCTCCTGAATAATCATTTTAAAATATTATTGTTGAATTGTTATTTTTTTTTCATAATAAATAATTTAAAAAAACGCCTGATAATTATGCACCAATCCCATATATTAGATGAAAACCGATAAATGTATATTTTTCTGCTTATGGGTTATTTTCATGGATATGACTTACTTGAGTAAATGCTCTGTTTTAATTAAACTGTATTCTTCCGGCAAGGATGCTCTAGACATTTCGTAGAAAATATGCGATCTCAGAATCTGCAACCCAAACAGAAACCGTCATATAGCCTAACGTACTGTTAACTATTCAGCCACAGAAAATTTTCCGGTTAGCAATGTTCAAATTACTGCTTATAAACACACATCCTCTACAATTTTTCTCGATATATCATTTCTCGTACATTCAAGCCGGTAAATGTAATTAATGCTGCTTATATATATATATATAAAGCAGGATGTGGTTGCGTGTGTAACGAATGCACGGCCGCAATTTTCGACGGATTTGCACTAAAATTTACATGCACATGCTCCAAGTTAGCGGAAAGGCCAAGATCGACTTTGCATTTCCCAACTCCCATCAATAGTGGAAATAATTGATTTTTTCATGATTCTACGGTTGTTTTCATGTAGTTTGCGGCCATTTTGTAATGGCCAGAGTGAAAGCCAACAGCTGGCTGCCACGAATGTTAACTAGCA